CGAGGGCACCGTGCTGAGCCGGGCTTTTCCTCCTCTCCCAGGTACCTGGCAAGCGGCTCTGGAGACACCACCGTCCGTTTCTGGGACCTCAGCACGGAGACGCCACAGTTCACGGCCAAAGGTGGGTACAGGAGTGTCCCGGGAGGGCAGCTCCTGACCCCCCTTCCTCAGGGACCCCCTGCCTGCTCGTGGGGACAAACAGAGCGGAGCCGGGATGCTGCCTGAGCCGTGTGGGCTGGGGGCATGGCTCAGGGAGGGGGTAGCTCTCCTTCACGAATGAAGCAGAGGGAGAGGGTCTGTCCAGAAGGAAGGTGGAGGGTTTTCCCCACCTCTAGTCCTGCTTGGGGGCAGCTGCACGTTGGGACACAGGGGACAGACAGGCGCAGCTCTCCGCTGACACTCGCTCGTGCTCTCTCTGCCAGGTCACCGGCACTGGGTGCTCAGCATCGCATGGTCGCCCGACGGCAAGAAGCTGGCCTCGGGCTGTAAGAACAGCCAGGTACGCCTTGGCTCCCTGCTCCCTCGGCACGGGGCCGGGCGCCCCGACGGCCACGCTGAGGGGTCTGTGGGAGCGTGGAGACGCTCTGCAGCCCTGTTCTGAACTGAAGTGAAACCTGGTAAAGGGGCTATGGAGGATTAGGGCACGAAGGGTGTATCCAGTTGTTCCGAGCAGGATTCCCGTCCTCCAGAGGAGCTTTGCATGTGGATGTGTCGCGGTAGTTGCAAGTAGCATCTCTGAACTCTGCCAGGTGGTGCTCTGGCTTTGTTGTCTTTGTAGACCTCTTGCCGCTGAGCCCTGCTGATTGTGGCAGATGCTTTTTCCTCAGAGCAGGAAAGAGTCCAGGCTTTGGACGTGGTCCTTGGCAGACGGCTCCATCACGAGGGAGGTGTCTGGAGCAAGAAAGGGTATCGCCTGGCTAAGCCAGGGCTGCTGTTTGCATGACCCAGACATGCAGCGGCAGCCTGTTTCGCAGTGCTCCCGCTCGGACACAGCCAAATTCCCTCTTACAGGAATGCAAAGGGGACCCTGCCCCAGCTGTGGGGCAAAATGTGTGTGCTTAAGGTGCACGCCGAAATGCCTGGGGAAGCGGGAGCGCTCGTGGGCAATTAAAAGTGAGTCAGTAACTTGCTGAGCTGCAGAGGGGCAGTCGCTTGCTCTGACCTTCGAACAGTCTGGGAGCAACAAGAGCAGCCACAGAGCTGCTGAGTGCTGCTGTCCTGCGCTCGGTTTCTGAGCAGCCACTCCGTCAGGCCGCTGTGATACCAGCCCCAAGGAAATGGGCCGGGTCAGGGTGGCTTTGCCCTGGCTTGGTGCTATTCTGGCTTTAATCCAACCCAGGGAGCCGCTTGTCCTCTGTTCCCATGTTTCTCTCAGGTTCTTAAGTAGGAGATGACTAATGCCTTGGCTCTTTGGATGAACATTTATGTAGAGAGAGAAAAAACAAGAGAAAACCAGCATGTGTCCCACCCACAGAATCCGATAATAAGTAGCATTTAGCGCGCTCTGGCTTTCATTGCGCTCTGCAAACATTCACTGACTCTCTGGCACAGGGTGTGAAAGGCTCAGACTGGCTTTTTGGGGACCTGGATCAGGTTTGAGTTGAGGCAGATATTTTTGTAGCAGCAGTGTTTTAGGCAGAGAGGAGGGCAATCAGGTCTCATTCTTTGAGATGTCAGCTGATTGCTCCAGGGATCTGGAAGGGCATCCAGCCCTCCTGCCCCCCTCCCTTTCTGCTCCCTGCTTCTGCCAATGTAAATGCGACCCCAAGGACACCTATCCTTTCTAAATTGAGCCCGAACATCCCTGGGATTCACGTGATGTGAGTGTCCTGACGCGACCTTCTTGCCTCCTCTTTGGACAGATATTTCTCTGGGACCCAGCCACCGGCAATCAGATCGGCCGGGTGCTCACCGGCCACTCCAAATGGATCACGTGTCTGTGCTGGGAACCGCTCCACATGTAAGTGAAGGGCCAGCCCAGCCCTTCCCCTTTACCATATGGAAAAGAGCAGCCTGACCTGAAGGGCACTGCTCCTGTTTGCCTTTCTTCCGTTACGGTGTGCAGAGGGGGTACGTGCAGGAGAGTGGCCCCCAAGGTGGGCCGTAAAAAATGCATCTGTCTCGGAGCCAGGAGTCCCAGCCGCTGCTCGCAGTCCCCATAAGGGTGCTGGGGAAGTCACTGCCAGGCTGTGCCTCTCCTCTGTGCAAAAGAGATACTTGCCTATGAAAAACACTTAATGTTTCATGGTGCTGGACAAACATTTGGTGTGCTCCTCCCCAGCATGCTGAGCTGGGAGTGGGAAAGCCTCCCTGCATGGTGCCCGAGCTCAGGCTCTGCAGAGCACTCCTTTTCTGCTCTCCTGCATCCCAGTTGCCTCTGTCGTCTGGTTTATTTATCATGAGGGCTGATTAATTGTGCAATCCCCTTATCCTTTCGATCTGTCTGGGAAGGATGGGTGGAGAGGGACAGCTGTGGCCAATAATCCAAGACATGACAGAAATAAATAAAAAGAAAGAAACAGGGCCCCTTCAGAGTAGAGCGCTGCAAATTGAATTTGCCAGTAGGAAACTCCAGCTATTTGCAAACAATTAACTGGATTAGCAAAAACTGATTATAAAGGAGGATGAGGAAATGGAGAGGAGGGAGATGACCCTGCCAGGGCTCCACATCTCTGCCTCCAGCCAGCTGCGCTCCCCGCTCAGTTCCTGCGCAACAGGAGGGGCCATGCTCTTCCTCACTGCTGCTGGTGCCAAGGACTACTTTCTTTGACGTTAAAACCGTGTTGAGTGATAAAGATGTTGTGCAAAGGACAGAGGGCTGTGGCTCCCCTGTCCTTGCTGGGTTGTGGCCAGCTGCTTCCAGATGTGTTAAATTTGCCCCCCTGAGCCACGTGGATGGATGTTGCTGCTTTCAGTCCTGCCAGCACAGCAGCACTCTGTGTCCGCAGGCCGGCACGTTTCCTGCCGGAGGCGAACCATGGCATAGGCAGGAGAGCGTTCAGCGCGTTCCTGTTGCTGCTGGTCTGCGCTGCCTGCGTAAGGCAGACTGATCCCCCTGCCCAGGGCTCTCCCCAGCCAGTGCCCGGGGAACGTGCCAGTTTGTGGTCCCCTCGTTAGCCAGCGGGTTAAAGCTGCCTCCTGTGAAAACAAGGTCATTGCCAAGGGCTCAGGTGCCAGGTTTACCCTGGATTGATGCCTCCAGTGTGCAGCCCAGGAGTTGGTTTGGAGGGAAGCATCTGTCTGCCTCTCCCCCACCTTGTGGGATGTTGTTCTCTGTAGGTCAGCGCTCTGCCCCTGCCCGGCCTCTCTCTGATCTTAAGCCAAAAGAAAAAGTTGTCTTTTATTGACTTCTGGACCCTTGAATCCTCTGGGGCTGATCGAGGGAGAGCTTGGTGGAGGAGCTGCATGCGCTCTGCAAATGGATTTGATCTTCTTTTTGCCCAGAAACCCGGAGTGCCGCTACCTGGCAAGTGCCTCCAAGGATGGCAGCATCCGCATCTGGGACACGCTGATGGGCAGGTGTGACAAAATCCTCACAAGCCACACGCAGTCGGTGACATGTGTGAAGTGGGGGGGCGATGGCTTGCTCTACTCCTCCTCCCAGGACAGGACCATCAAAGTCTGGAGAAGCCAGGACGTAAGTGAGGCGGGCAGCCCTGGGGCTGCTGGCGAAGGGGGCTGGACACGCTGTGTTGTAGCTTTGCGTGCTCTTCCTGGCACAGCTTGTGCCCCGGAAAATGGAGGTGCAGAGTAGGTGCTGTATCCTCTTGACCTGTCAGAGCCTGTCGCTTGACACCATTTGGAAGGCGTAGCTGTTGCGCAATGTTTTCATCCTTAAAAGCGTAAAATGGGGCTAAAAGCTGGAAACATCCCTGGAGCGACCTGTGCCGGTGGGTTCCTTGCAAGGCCCTGTGGGAAACTGGTTCCTGAAGCTCAACAGTGTCGTTTCTTCCCTGCTAAGCCTGGCTACAGTCCTCCCTGCAGCTTGGGCAAGAGGGTTTGGAAAGTTTAGGGTTGGTCCTCGCAGCCCAATGGGTCTGGTGGGTCCTACGCAGTCTGGCTCTGTCCTGCCCGTCCCTCTCTAAGCAGGTCGTTTTGTTTGCAGGGGGTCCTCTGCCGCACCTTGCAGGGCCACGCTCACTGGGTGAACACCATGGCCCTTAGCACCGACTACGTTCTCCGCACCGGTGCCTTCGAACCTGCCGAAGCCACCATCAACCCACAGGATGTAAGCGGCTCCTGTAAGTGCAGCACCCGTGTTGTAGGCTGGGGGAGGCAGTGGGGAGGATAACGAGGAGACCTGGTGTCTATTCTTAATGCTGCCACGAGCCAAAGCAATCTTGAGAGCTGGGAGCAGGTCCTGTGCCGGTGTCGGTCATGCTGGCAGCCATGATGTTCCTTGCCCATGCACAGGGTCGAGCAGCGTGGGGAATGGGAAGGCCACTCTGTTTTCAAGGGCTTTTACTCTCAATATCGCCCTTGAAAAAGAGAAAGTGGGTGAGCAGTCACAAATGCGTCCCACGGAGCCAGGATTGGAATTGGCATCACAGGGTTATAAAGTTTCCTTTCACCTAAGGATTGCAAATCTGTCTTTCTTCCTCTCTCCCTTTTCCTCTTTCAGTGTCAGAACTGAAGGACAAGGCACAGCAGAGGTATGACCAAGTCAGGGTAAGTCCCTTCTGTCCCTACTGTCAGTTCTAACACTGTTACTGGTGAAAGCAGTAAACATGCACAGTTGGCTGTTGACCCCAATGCTGGTGTGCTTCCGAGCTCTCCACACCTGGCTTGTACAAGACTTGGGCTCTTTCATCCCTTTCTCAGGGCCAGGAACCAGAAAGGCTCGTCTCGGGGTCAGATGATTTCACGCTGTTTCTTTGGAGACCAGCAGAAGACAAGAAGCCGCTGGAGAGAATGACAGGCCACCAGGCATTGATTAACCAAGTCCTCTTCTCACCAGACACACGGATAATAGCTAGTGCTTCCTTTGACAAGTCCATAAAGCTCTGGGATGGTAGGACAGGAAAGTGAGTTGGTTTGTTCTGTTACAGAGGTGGTGTTTGTATGGGGTCTGCGTGTGATGCACAGGTTACGCAGAGGTGGGCCCCGATGTCATTGCCAGCAACTCCCTGGTGTGTTCACCAGCTCTGTAGCCTGAACTCATGCAAAGTAATTCTGCTGCCTCTGTCTCTCTCTGCCCTTGGGAAGTCCCTCGTCCAGGTCTTCTTGTGTTACAGGGTCTTGTGCTGGCCAGGTGTGCGCAACCCTGCTGTTATCCAGCACACAGCACTGCCTGTCACCCGTGCGGCACGTGCTGCCTGCTGCAGGGTCGGTTCTCCGGGGCAGGCACAACTGTGGTAGGATGGGATGTTCCACTCGGCTGATCTCCTGAAGACATGTGCGTTGCACACTGTAGACTGACCCAGTTTAAATGGTTCCTGTGCCAGGGAACAGCTTGTTCTGGACAATGCAAATTCTTGTAGTTTCAAGTGGTGCTGTTGGTGTTTGGATGCTCTTGTAGTCCAGCTTTTAACCTTCAGCAAGAGTATTGGTGAGCTCTCTGGGGCAGCAATCCTTCCTTAGAAATCAGGCTTTATACTGATGAGCTTGGGTTTCATGTCAGTAATTTTAACGGTCCTAAATCCAGGCTGCTCAGCCGGAGAGAGACACATCTGTATAGTAAGGCTGTAGTGTTGGCTGCTGGATAAGGGTTTCTTGGCAGACGAGTTGAGATGAAGAGCCATCTTCTAGAAGGCTCTGAGCCCGTCTGGGATGGTTTTTAGATAGACTGAACCACCTATGGACTCTGTATAGTAATTGACTGCCTTGTGTGTGCTGGCTTGGGTGTGCTGGGCATCCTGTGACTGTGCTTGCTTGCTCACGGGTGGAGAAGAAACATGAAGGCTGAGAAAGGGCAGGTTTGGAACAAACCCAAGCCTGCTCCTCTAACAGCTTTTTCATGCCTCCTCCACACCAGGTACCTGACGTCGCTGAGAGGGCACGTCTCAGCTGTGTATCAGATCGCCTGGTCAGCCGACAGCCGCTTGCTGGTAAGCGGGAGCAGTGACAGCACGCTGAAGGTCTGGGATGCCAAGATGAAGAAACTGGCCATTGATCTTCCTGGCCATGCGGATGAGGTGAGGTCTCTGGTCTAGCTGAGGTGTTTGAAAGAGGCAGGAATAGCTCCTCCTCCCAGCAGAAATAACTGGGTCTTT